TATATATATATTTGATGTGTCACAAAAGATTCGTTTGTTTTTGAAATATAATGTGCGTGTTTTGCTGTAATACTTTTCATGCAAACTTGATGAATTTAAATTACATATTGTCGTAAGGATAGTTGCACGTGTATGCACGTGTACGTGTGACTATTCATCGCATCATCTATTTCAATTCATTGTTGTTGCACTGTTTAATTTTAAATCTCTTTTTTTCTGTGCATTTGAAGCAAAGATGAAAATTAGTTAAAATGACAACTGTAAAACAAAATTGTTAACGTGTATTCTATCTTAAATAGCGTTAATTATTTCAGAAATAATTTATGAATAATTTTTCTATCGATTCATTTTTCAAACTTATCGAATATTAAGCAGATTATTATTGCTTCAAAATGTTTAATTTTGGGTAATCGTTTTAATATTGAATAAGTGAATATATTGACGAATGATGCTTGCTTATTACTTAAAATTTAATTGCTAATTATGCTTTCAATCTTTTTCCCAATAAATTATTTACTTCTTAAAATCTTTGATATTTATCATTTACACAAATGGACTATAATAATTTGTTGATTTAATTAAGTAAAAATTTTGAATAATCTAAATTGGAAGTAATTAGTAATATTCTCTAACTCTGCTTCTGTTATGTAAGAAGCAAACATCAATATTTCTTAATCAATTTATCTTCAAAGGGATGATAATCATAATGACATTGCTGTTGTCATAATATCTGCCAAAAGTATGTGTGTCCAAAAAGAGATAACGATGATATTGCTGTTGGCGGTCAATATTTTTGAAAACTTCAGATTTAATAGTTTATTTTATACAAAAAATTTGATATTCCACCATGGAGAATTATTCACATTGATATTGCTTAGAGACTTTTCATTAATTAAATTTTAGAAATTAATCAAAACTATAATTTTTGCGTAGCACAATAATTCTTTACAGTAATATAAATCTTTCCGGCGTCAAATAATATATTTCATTATTTTATTGCTGTCAAAGATATTCATGTATTCATAATATTTTCAATATAAACATGAAGATTCGATAAAATATATCATTAATTTTTAATATTATTAATAAAAAATCTATTTAGAAAACTAACATATTGTTAGCAACAAAACACGAAAATTATTGGTACTACAAATTTTTGCAAGAAAATACATTAATAAAGGATCAAAAAATACTTAATGAGGATTAAAAGTATTAAGTTTGCTATGGAAAATATTAAATTAAATTGAAAATATAGCATACGTCAAATTATTAAGTTATGTCTTTTGCAAATAATTTTATTCACATATTTTTATGAATATTTCGTCTAAAGAGTATTTTTTAATATATATTTGTTTATTTATATACTTTTTTGCCTGCTTTTTTATTAACTTCAACTACTTTTTTTTTAAATTAATGTGCGCTTTGTTGAGCTATTTTTTGACGCATACTTTTTTTGGCTTAATTAACTCATTCCCTCTTGTCAACTTCATTACTACATATTTTCTTTTTTTTTCTCTCGCATTTATAAATTAGTATTGGAAGAGAAAAAAGAATTAAATACAAAAAAAAAAGATTTATTCGACCATTTAAACATTGTCCTCAAAAGTAAAATGGTCAAATCATAAAGTGCTATAAGTTAGAATATCTGAAGCAATAATTAACCTAACACTGAAGGTAGAATTTTCTAATAAGCATTCAAGCATACCTTATAAATAATTTCATTTGCTGGAATTTACAGTTTACAAAATTGCAACGAAATATTTTTTTACCGGACTTAATTTTTTAATGCCTAATTATTCTTTTTATAACATTGTTTGCAAATATTTACAGTATGCATTAAATGGAACATTTTACTGGCGGTTAACACACAACGAGTGTGATTTACTTTCAAACATTGCCCTTCTAACAGATATTTTGTTGCATATGTCTCATTCATAGCAGTTTTATAAATTCGGCAGTGACATTAAATGTGTGAACAATGATTGAAACGTCTCTCATAATCGAGACAGCCATGTCACGCAATTCTTCACCTTTACCTCATTCTACCACTATCATTCAATCTCTACACTTTCTCATTAAGTAATCTTCAAAGTGCATTACACAGAATAATTCGACTTTTTCCCATAACTTCAACTGATACTTTTTTTCAATACTCGTCAAGTACCCTCTTTAGCAGCACTTATGACAGCATTTGATGTCGTGTCAGCAAAGTAGTTAAGACATATCATGTAACCTCCAATATAATCTAAACTGCTACTATCCCTGATAAATGGGACTAATAATTTAACTTGTTATAGAGATCAAAAAAATAAAATTACAATTCTTAAACTATCATTAATAAATTTACTAGATATTATTAGTACTTTATCTTATCATCATTTATAATTATTTGAGATGCAATTATTGTCCAAATTATTGAAAGGAAAATGACAGGCACAGATTTCCTTCGAATGTTTACTCTTATCTTTTTATTTCCAATGATTTTTCAGAAATTAGAATTGTATTTGGTAAAAATCAGAACAGTGGAAAAAATGACATAAATAATATTTTATGGCAAAAAGAATGCTTTTAATAAGCAAATTAAAACCACTAAAAGAAAAATGGGAAACGATCCTACATTGGACATTTTGACATATATTAGTAATCAAAAACTGATTAATGGATCACCAGACACAAAATTTTATCTTTTATTTACCATGAAATATTATTGACTTATTCCCAAATCATTTCCAAATAAAATTTTTGATAAAGAGGATTTCACTGATTTTAGCTGCTTAAATTTTTGATGACAATTAAATGCAATTAATTACGGAAGTACAGACATTTTTTAAACTTCGATAACTTTAGTTATTTAAGATCAAAAATTAACTTGATCTTTTTTAAATCGGATATAATTGCCAGAGAAATAAAGAAAATAGTTTATGACCTGTTGTTGGGAATTTAAATAGCGTTTGAATTACTTCTAAAAAAAGTTGGATAAATGGACTTATGTGTATGATGCAAAGAAACCTGCAAAGATTAGGCATTTTTTATTAAATACTCAGAACGCCTCATCTTTTCTATCTTCGTCACTTATTCTTTTTTTTTAGACATAATTTTTTTTTCTTAGACATAATAAAATTGCCCATGGTTGAGTGTAATAATTGTCATCCAAACATGGTAACATATGCCGCATAAATGCCTCATCTCAATTTGGTATTTTGTTATATAATTTTAAGAAATGAATGGCAGCACTTTGAATCAATGGATTGCACAATTTTGGAAATTATTTGGTAATATTAGGATGGAATTTTCAAAATGTATGAAGAGAATTTTGGAATAGAAATTTCATTCAACTTTTAAGCCATTTAGTATCTCACAAATCCCTCTTTAGTGGGACAGTCTTTTGAAATGAATGTGATTAAGTGATCCAATATTCTGAACCGATCAATACATATTAAATTTGTCGTCATTATTTTACCTGTCTGTTATTTCTGCTTACTTGAAGAATTTTTTCGTATTTTTATTCCGTAACTTCCCAAAAAAAAGACAAAAAAATTCGAAAGTAGAAAGAGAAGAAATTAAAATGGAAGAAAAAGGAAAATGAAAAGAAAATGAAAAAAAAACGAAAGATAAAAAAGAGAAGTGCGAGAAAAAGAAAAAAAATTGAAAAACTTAAAAAAAATAATGATAAAACAAAAAAAATAGCACGGTAATTTAATTGAATTGAAATAATTGAGTTTAGGATGTATGAAATGATAAGAAAAGAAAATTTATTGGAATTAAACAAACTTTTTTGAATAATGAAAATAATAAAATTAAACCAATATAAAGTATATCATCCCAAATTCATCTGCTTTTCTCTTGTTGATTTATATTTTATACTTCATTACCTATAATATCTATAGATAATATTTTGATATGTAATACAATTAAACGAAAATTTAATACGTTATGTCGCGTGTGTGTGTATGTATGTGTGTATGTGTATGTGTGTGTGTGTG